CACACACACACACACACATCTGCAAACAGGAAGAAGAGGGAAAGCACTACCAAAAATACATATAATGAAAGATAAGTCCATAACTGCTCAGGACAGTAAGCATCACAGCAGAGGCCTTTGTGTCAAAGTAACTGAGGATAAAACACAGAAAAACATGAAGGAGATTTTCCTGGCCTGGGACTTTATAGCAGATAACCTTAAAAATATTCTGCAGTAGATCAAAAACGAAAGAAAACCTGCAGTGATTTAACGTTAGCGAAAGCCATATCTGTCTGCCAGATTCATGAAATGACTGAAGAGCACAATAAAACACTTGCTTTTCCTCAACAATCTGCGACAAATGTTGATGTGCTCCAGCCCAAATTTACAAGAAAGCACAGAGGAGATAAAATAAAAATGCAAGGAGACAGGTCTGAAACACAGCATATCACTGACTGTACTAACTGTGGGGGCGATCATTTGGTTTGCAAATTTAAATGTTCCTAAGGACCAGCATATGTGACCTTTAATGCTGTGATTATTATTATTTAGCATGCATTAAACTTTATATCTGGTTAGGGATGTACTAAAGAAGGGGGGTGTAGATAACCTCCTGTCAGTTTCGTATTTTGTCCTAATCCGCTTGCCGTACCTCCATGTAGGTCTGTATATGTTTGAGTGGTGTATGCGACATTCGGCTATTGAATCCGAGCGCTGCTGCTCTGCCGGTTAATAAAACCACATCAGCTGATCATTATCATACTGGTGAACATACAACATGAACATTACCTGATGTTGCTGAAGTGAAGCAGAGCAAAGTTACAGAGGTTTTATTAGAGACACTGTTACGGCCCTGGGCCTTGGAGGGACTGAGACTGCCTTTTTTTTGTTCATGCAAATCCAAGTGTGCTATGACTCGCGGATGATTGGTTGCTGGGAGACCCGTGCCAGCCCTCTTCTATGCAGATTGCAGTGTGCCAGACCACGCAGACGATTGGCTGCCTGGAGATCCCATGACACTCCAAAAGGAAATGACTGGCTGATTGTGTGCACCTGTGGGTATAAAAGGCAATTGTTTGCCCAGTGGTCTGTTGAACAGTCCTGTTGGTTTTCTGTTTAAAGTTTGCAATAAACCCTTTTATTTTACTCAGTTTTCATGTGGGGGCTTGTGTATGTTACTCCCCTCCTGTCGCCCAGCAGAGGGGGTCGTAACAGACACAGCCAAGCGTTTTGCAAATTTTAAAAAGTTTTTTAAAATTTGTTCAGTAGCCTGTTGAACGGCAGAAATGAGGCTTTCTTGTTGGAAGTAAGTAAAAGGAAAACACAGCGGCCCACAGGCTGTAAACAACGGTAAACTTGTGCGTAATAAGCAAGCGAATAATGAAGAAAACAGATTTTTAGACGGGAAACTGTTCTTGAAGTACAGAGAGAGAGAGAGAGAGAGAGAGCTGTGCATGAAGTGTGATTTTATCCTGGTGGAAGCAAAACAGGAAAAGTCAGAGTGAATTCATGTTTGCGTGAAGTGAAATGTGAAGCGTAGTTTGGATCTTCTTTTGCTGCTGGTTCAGTCAATATTGGAGAGAGATAAAACCTGCAGCTTCAGAATCAG